CATATTTTTTCTGCGTGCTGTCTTACGTAATCTGAACTGTTTTTGAGTAGTTTACCGAAATTTTTTTGTTGCTAAACACTCTCATTTGCGCTCTGCTAACGTCTTATGCCTCTGTTCAGGTACGAAGCATATAATTAGCAACACGCTTGTCGTTCCGTCTCTTTATCGTAAAATCATCAGTATCATATATGAATTAACTAATGATCATATCATTAGCATTTGCATTCAGATGTTTCTTTGTTTGTTTTTTTTCAACTATTTATATTTTGAACAGGGTATATGAAGTTTGTCACGAAGTTTGTAACATCTAGAAAGAAGAGACCCTATAAAGTATATATATAAATGATCAGTATATCGAGCTGATTCGAATTAGCCATGTCCGTCTGTCCGTCTGTCTGTATATATACGAACTAGTCCCTCAGGTTTTAAGATATCGTTTTGAAAATTTGCAAACATCATTTTCTCTTCAAGAAGCTGCTTATTTATCGGAACTACCGATATCGGACCACTACAACATATAGCTGCCATACAAACTGAACGATCGGAATTAAGTTCTTGTATAGAAAATTTAAAATTTGATAAGAAATATTCACGTAATTTGACATGGATTACTGCTTAAGATAATAATATAATCTCCCAAAAAAATTTTCACATCGGATTACTATAGCATATAGCTTCCATACATACTGAACACATAATTACTAACAAAAATGCACCTGTGAACGGTATTTATCTTTGGTGCAACGGAAGTTAACGTTTTTCTTGTTTATCTTTAAATTTCTACAGCTTTATGTATTATATTTTGAAAGTAGTTCGTGCCTCGCCTCCCTTTAAGTTAATGTGCATATGTATCTCCCAAACTACTAAAGCTACAATAACTAAATTTACCCACTATTTACTGTTAAAAATTGCGCGTTGCGTTTTAAGCAAAATCACGAATCTCGCGATCTGCCCGTCCAATTTCAACTAACTGTAGTACCTGATATTTCAATGACATTCTTAGTTTACAGTATGAAGATGGGCGAAAAAATTACGTACATCGAATCAAAAGTGTTTAAGCGGTCCCGGTGCATGTTCTTCTTCGGCGTAGTCGTTTCTTCTTTTCGCTACGTGGCGCCAATTAGATATTCCAAGTGAAGCCAGGTCCTTCCAACGGAGTTGGTCCTTCCAACGGAGTGGAGGTCTTCCTCTTCCTCTGCTTTCCCTGGCGGATACTGCGTCGAATACTTTCAGAGCTGGAGTGTTTGACCTAGCCAGCGTAGCCGCTGTCTTTTAATTCGCTGAACTATGTCAATGTCGTCGTATATCTCGTACAGCTCATCGTTCCATCGAATGCGATATNCAATGTCGTCGTATATCTCGTACAGCTCATCGTTCCATCGAATGCGATATTCGCCATGGCCAACGCGCAAAGGACCATAAATCTTTCGCAGAACTATTTTCTCCAGAAGCAGGTTGAAAAAGTCACACGATAAGCAATCGTCTTGTCTGAAACCTCGTTTGGTATCGAACGGCTCCTTTTCGTGCTGTCAAAAGCAGCATTGAAATCGACGAAGAGGTGGTGAGTGTCGATTCTCCTTTCACGGGTCTTTTCCAAGATTTGGCGCATGGTGAATATCTGGTCAGTTTTTGATTTTCCAGGTCTGAAGCTACACCGATAAGGTCCAATCAGTTTGTTGACGGTGGGCTTTAATCTTTCACACAATACGCTCGGTAGAACCTTATATGCGATATTGAGGAAGTTTATCTCACGGTAGTTGGCGCAGATTGTGGGGTCTCCTTTTTTGAGGATTGGGCATAGCACACTTAAGTTCCAATCGTTGGGCATGCTTTCGTCCGACCATATTTTACAAAGAAGCTGATGCATGCCCCTTATCAGTTCTTCGCCGCCGTGTTTGAATAGCTCGGCCGGCAATCCATCGGCCCCCGCCGCTTTGTTGTTCTTCAGGCGGGTAATTACTATTCGAACGTCTTCGTGGTCGGGCAATAGAACGTCTGCTCCTGGCATTGTGCGTTCACTGCCATTCAGCAGGCTGGAGAAGTGTTCCCTCCATAATTTAAGTATGCTCTGAGCATCGGTGACTAGATCACCTTTGGAGGTTCTACAAGAGTATGTGCCGCCGCATTTTTTCGTAGAATTTTCAAGCATCACCCCTGTCGGCCAGCTTATCAAGCTCTTCATACTCACGCATTTCGGACTTTTTCTTTTTCTGTCTGCATATGCGTCTCGCTTCCCTCTTCAACTCCCTTTATCCATCCCATCCCGCACGTGTTGTGGTCGATCGTAACGTTGCGAGGTAGGCAGCCTGTTTTCTCTCCGCTGCGACACGGCACTATTTGTCGTACCAGCTCTTCTTTTGTACTTTCCGAAAAGCAATGGTTTCGGTTGCAGCTGTACGTAAGGAGTTTGAAATGCCGTCCCACAGTTCGCTTATACCGAGTTGTTAACGAGTGCTCTCAGAGAGCAGGTCCGAGTCGATGTTAGGACCTCGCAGTGCACACACATCTAAAACACTGGAGACGTGTCTTCCGTCTATCACAACATGATCGATCTGGTTGGTGGTTTTTCGATCCGGAGACAGCCAAGTAGCTTGATGAATCTTCTTATGCTGGAATCTAGTACTATAACCATATTTCGGACCC